TAGCCACGGCACCTCCTCCTCTGCTGCCCGCAGCCCTTGCACGCCTCCCGGGACCGGAGAAGGGCGGCGGAGGGGCCAGCCCGGAACAAAAGGCCGGGGAGGCGGGCGCGGGCCGCTCGGCGACCTTCCACCTTGTGCTTGGAATGTGCTCACGTGACCTTGAAACAAAGGAAGCGAAGTGACTGGCAGGCCCACCTGAAGGAGCTTTCAGATTTACAGTCCTCCCCCTCCCCAGTCTATAAAGCAGGAAAGTGGGGGGGGTCGGAGATAAAGGAATAAATAACCGGTTTATAGAAGACAAACTTTCAGTAGTGATAATTATGAAAATTTTGGTAGTAAAATCCGCAGTGGCCGCATGTTCTTTCACAGTCAAAATGGAGTCCCAATTTCTGCAGTTACATCTTTCTGACAAGATGCAGATAGTTTGCAAACGTAAGAAAACAACAACAACAACAAACCCTGTGTGTTTGTTTTTGAGACAGGGTCTGCTACTGTGTAGCCCAGGCTGGCCTAGAACCCTGAGCAATCGTGCCTCAGTCTCCCAAGTGTTGGTGGGTCACTCTCATGCCTGGATTGATTGGTCTGGGCTTGAGGTGGCCTCCCACCTCAGCCTCGCCAAAGGAGCTGAGGCTGCACAGGCAGTCGCAGGTTACAGGAGCCTTTTCGTCATTTTATCATGTTATGAGTGCACTTTGTCAATCGCGTTGCTCTTTCCAAATTCAATAATTCTTTGCCAAAAGCTTACTTTGAGTCATTATAATCTGATAGTGGCCTCCACTGTGGTGGCAAAAGAGTACATTTATGCCTATTAGGGTTAGAGAACATAGACCCCGTGCAGTGCTCAAATCCATCTTAGGATCCCAGGTATTTATTACTGCTTACTACTCGTGCTTCCAAAGCATCAGATGCTGACAGGAGACAATGACACAAAATGAAAACCTTAGCCGAAAAATAAACTGAGTAATGAGGAAGTTAAAGTCTCCCAGAGCAATTTTGAAAAGCGTCATACCCAAGCTTGCTGGCCCATCACCACTGTCATCCTAGCATGTCACAGCTGGAGGCAGAACCATCTCCAGTTTGAAGCAACCCTGAACTACACACAGCCAGATCCTGTCTAAATGAGCAAGAATGAGCAGAAGATTGTTATTTATATTTTAATGGAGGAAACTAGTGGAAGTAGTTTTAAGCTTGATTCATTTGAATATGGAATATTACAAGATGAGGATAATATTAAAGATCTTGCTATACCTGGTAGGGTATATAAGACAATGCTTTAAAAAATTATATCCTACCCTTTCTCAGTTTTCTAGACTACCTCAGCCTTGTGCTTCCTGTGTAGCCAGGGCTGACCTTGAGCGGATCCTCCTTTCTTCTTCCCAAGGGCTGGTGTGCATCAATCACAATGTCCAGTATATGCGGTGCTAAGAATTAAACTCAGGCCTTTGTGCACCCTAGACAACCACTCTGCCAACTGTACCACTTCGCTCCCACACTTTTTTTTTTTTAAATATTTGAAACAGGTGTTACAGAGTCTAGTCCTCTTATCTCAGCCTCTCGAGGGCTGAGATTACAGGCTTTACTACCATGTCCAGGACAAGTTATAGTTCTCCTTAATGTTCAGTAAACTTCTGAGAAACATAAGCATCCCTTTAGGAAAAACAGTAAAGCTTACCTAAGGTAGATAGTTTTGGACTGGAATTGATGTGAATATTAATATCTTTGAAGCCTCAAGATGTGCTTTGGACCTCTCAGAGGTAATGTTTGAATCACAAGTATAATCAAGATCCAAAAAGAAGAGCTATAGAGATTATTTGGTGATGGTACATCGAAAGTGAATGTCTTTAGGGGCAAACAAGCTACAGAACACTAAGAAAATAGGGTAGCTGAAAATATGCTCCACCTGAATGAAGGCAAGCCTCTGCAGAAGTGGAGGTCCCTCTGCTATGCTTGGTTCATCAAATGATCAATGGTCTACAGGGGCCAAGAAGAGTAATTACTAATAGTTTGCCTTTGAAGTTAGGGTTATTTCATATCATTGTATATTATCTTTCCAAGAAGATCTTTGCATCTGACCCCTCCCTTTGTGCTCTGCAGCCTTATTATAATGTTTGGCTATTGCTCGCTGTTTTAAAATAGAGTCTTTTGAGTTGGAAGGATCTCTGTAAACTGCTTGCTTCCTGTTTCCCATGTTTTCTTGTAGTCCTCAATCTAATGTCAAGTCAGGCTACTTACTTGTCCACTCTGTGTCATTTTAACCTACTCCTAGGGTCATTATCCCTTGCATCACTTATGCTACCAGTTTGTTTCAATTCATATTTCAATTCAATTCCAGGACTAGTGGAAGTCTAATTTTCTCCAGAGCATAGGCTGTAGTGGTTTTGGTCAACTTACTACCTTTAACAGCTATAACAAGCTACTTATCTTGTATCTCAATATCCTCATCTATAGAGAAAATCATACTGATATACCTCATAGAGATGCTATGAGGATTTTAGTTACCGTGGTTCTTGATGCTATAAGAAAGGCTTAATAATGTTATTTTTAATTATTACATCAACCCATACCAATTCCTTAAACAGCACTGTACAGCTCATCATTGATTTTGTTGTATTGCATTAATGTTCTTTTCAGCTTGAAAATTTTCATGTAAAGTTGATTACTGACTGTTGAAAGCAAAGCTGTGATTTATACTTCTTTTTCAAAGTCTCAAATCTCTCAGGATGGTACTCAGGGCTCAGTATATATATTTTTTTCTTCCTGTCTTGTTATCTGGTTTCTTTTCTATTAGCCATTTTATCTGTGTTGCTTATAATTTTAAATTCGAATCCTGTCTGTCCCAAAAGTATCTGAGGTGACTTATAACCCATAAATGATAAAATGACAAAGATAAATCATGGTCATGAAGATATGAAGCTCAACTAGAAAGATGACATTAGGATGAGTCACACTGAAATACAGTCTATGAAGAGTTGCCTTTTTTTTTTTTTTTCTATTTCTATATAATCACTAAAGGTAGCCTCCAATGAAGATCTGAGCTTCATGATGGTCAAAGGAAGGAAGGAAGTAAATCACATACTCTAAAAACACAGCTTCCTATGTTCAGATAATTGGGAAATCATTGCCTGAGGTGGTGCCATCACTCTGGGTTCCCACAAGAGCAAACAAAAACTCAACTCAGTGGAAACTGTCATGTTCTAGGAAAACAAAAAGCTCTCTCTAGTGCTGACCTCTGGCTAAGGAATTTCTGCTGGAATGACCCGAAGAAAGCCATTGCCAACCTTCCAGCCTCCAGGTGCCTCTCTTTGCCGTGTTCTGTGTTCTCTTGGGAAAAACCTTTGCCTTGCTCCCGCATGGTGCAGCCCGGACTGCTTGCATTCTGGAACTGCCCAATTGAAGCTCTTGTCTCCTCCAGTGGGTTAAAGGTTCAGTACCACTGTTGACCATCTAGCAGTGAGGCATGAGTAGTCAGGATGGGGAATGCAGTTCGTGGTCATAGTTCAGAGGGGACACAGAAGCTCTGCTTCTCCTCATCTTGTGTTGACTTGTGGCTGACTGACACCTTTTACAGGAGGCATGTAGGTTGTTTCCATGATCTTTGCCATTTCTGTTCATCAGTTGGTATTATTTTTGTTTCATTTAAAGCTTATAAATTTAGGGGTTTGTGGAAGATGATGGTGAGGCTGTACTACTATTTTGAATGCTAATCTGTCCCCTCAGCTTTCCATGGCTGGCCTTATATCACAGTATTCATTGTTTCACATTCTCCTGTTAGAACATGGAGATTGGAAAGCAGTAGGAGACTGGTGACTTACATAGTATGTTTCACTTAAGGAAATACAGAATGGAGGAAAGTAAAATGCTTCCTGTTTCCTCCTGGGACTTCCTGTGGCAGAGGTCAGCAAAAATATCAGCTCCAATCAGTGAGTTCCCCCTCCAATGTTGTTTCCTGTTTAAGCTTTGATTTGTGACATGTATTGTGAGAAGGCAGGGAGAACTAACCTGCTAGGTAGCTGCAAGACTGAACTTCCTCCTCCTGATGCTTCTCAAGCTAGCGGTTGGTTTGCTCCATTGATTGCTGCTGTGTGTCCTGAAATCCAGGCTTTACCCACCACCCTTATCAAATGATCTACTTTTGGTCTCAATTTCCTGGCACGATTGCTTCTCAGTCATTTGTGTGGTGATAACTAAAATTATTTATTTGGGGGAGTGTATGGACTCATGTACATTTTTTGGTCATGGTATAGGATTTCATATGAAATCTACACTTGCAAGCTTGATCTCTTAACTAGGGGACCTCTGCCAAGGGACCCTCTAAGGTGAGTGATTAATCAGTTTACATGAGTTCAAGCCAAGTTGTTGTAAAGGTTAATGTTTACCTCTCATAGCTAGAATTGTCTCCCTTGTCCCTTCCTCATCCTTCCTTACCCCCTCCTTCCATTACTGCAGTCTTGTGTTGTACAGACTTACAGGCTCAAGTGAAAATTCAGCTTCAGTTTAAGAGTATGAGACCCTACCCCAAGCTTGTGCCACTGTGCTTGGTGTGGTAGTTTGAATGTAACTGGCCCCCTAATGTCATAGGGGTGGCACTATTAGGAGGTGTAGTCTGTGTAGTAGACGTGATCATGTTGGAGGAGGTGTGTCACTGTGTGTGGAGACGGGCGGTCTCATATATGCTCAAGTGCTCAGTGTGACAGTCCACTTCCTATTTTGCCTTCTGATCAAGATGTAGCCAGCACCATGTCTGCCTGTGGGTTGCCATGTTGTCTACCATGATGGTAATGAACTAAACCTCTAAAACTGTAAGCCAGCCACCCCAATTATATATTTTCCTGATAAGAGTTGCCATGGTCATGTGTGTCTTTGCAACAATAGAAACCATAACTAAGTCACCTGATTTGAAATGGCATAATAGTGTGGAATTCTTTTTT